CGAGCTCGGCCTTCGCGGCCTTCCAGAGCCGGGCGCCCAGCACCTGGTGAGTCACGTTCAGCTTAGCCAGCCTCAGCCTTGCGCCCCGCCGAGCAGGGCTGCATCCCCGCCAGGGGTGGTCTAGGCCAGCCTCGCCCAAACAGCCCTGTGCAGACACAGCCCTAAACTCCTCCGCCCGAAGAGTCAAGGCATCCACTGGCTGAGCGAACCGGGTGTCCATTAAGCATCATCAAGCGCCAGCTGCATGCAACCGCTGCGTCCCGGGCGCTGGGAAGGGAACCTGGACCCGCCGGGCTAGGCCCCGCCCCCCTCTGTTCATTGGCTGGCTCGGATGGCAGTCTCTGGATCCCAGAGCCGATTGGCTCACGCTCTGTGCCCACCCCCCAGGCTGACCGCCTACGTGGTCAAGGTCTTCTCTCTGGCCGTCAACCTCATTGCCATAGACTCCCAGGTCCTCTGTGGGGCTGTCAAATGGCTGATCCTGGAGAAGCAGAAGCCCGACGGAATGTTCCAGGAGGATGGGCCCGTGATACACCAGGAAATGATTGTAAGAGGCTGGGATTCAGGGCAGAGTGGGGAGAGGGGCACCTGAGTGTCACAGAATGGGGGAGGTGGGAAGGGACAGGAAGATAAATGAGCCGTGAGTGTCACCCCAACGTCGCAAAAACCGGAAACCTGCAGAGCCCAGTGCAAAATGAAAACGCATGGCCCCTTGTTCAGAATTCCATTAAACCAAGTGCAGGACCCCTGCCTGGGAATCCCCCTCCCACAGCCAACCCATCTCCAACTCCTGCTGCCTGGATGTTGCTGAAACCTTCCCTCCTGGTCATTCTCCGGGTGGCCTCCCACTCTTGTCTCTTAATCACTCGTCACATAGCAGCTGGGGTGATTTTTTCAAATCGGATTGGATCATTCCTTGGAAAGTCCCATGGCTCCCCATAGCTCTTAAAATAAACACAGAACTCCTTAGAGTAGTGGTTCTCAAAGTGTGGTCTTCGCACCAGTAACAGCAGCACCCACCAACTTCTTAGAAACGCACATTCTGGGACTGGACCCCAGACCCATGGAGTCGTAAATTTGAGCGGTGGGGCCTGGGATTCTAAATTTTAACAAGCTCCTCTTCCCCAACCCCCTGGTGATACTAATGTGTGCTCAAGGTGGAGAATCTCTGCCTTCGTCTGATCTGTCAGGCTTCCGGCCTCATAGCTTTCCCCCTCTCTCCACACTCCATTCATACTGCTAGAAGCCCCTCTCTGTCCTGCCACAGGACCTTTGCACATGCTGTTACTGCTGCCTAGCATGCAAACCCCTACTTTCTTTGAGAGTTGATTTCTGCTCTTGAGATTGTGACTCCAGCTGTAATTTCTGAGGGACACCTTTCCTAATCTCCCCGACTTGCCTACCCACAGTTCATGCTTCCTATTGTGTCCTCTCCTGTGCAGCACTCATCAGTTTGAAATTATGTATTTATTGAGGAGCTGGTTGGTTCGTGTCCATCTCCCTACTAGACAAGGCAGGTGTCCGGTTTTCGTACAGACAGGTGTCTGGGCCAGGGCAGGTGTCTGGTATTCGTCCACCATTGTATCCACAACGCCAGCACAGTGGCCCTCCAGTGACCTTCCTGGAGGGGTGGGGGACACTAGGAAGAGATCCAGTTTGGCCCAGACCCCCTGATTCTGCAGAAGGGTTCGCTGGCATGTGTAGACACACTTGTGACCCTATTCTTGCTTCTTGCTCCCCATCTCAGGGTGGCTTCCGGGAGAAAAACGAGAAAGAGGTGTCCCTCACAGCCTTTGTTCTCATCGCGCTGCAGGAGGCTAAAGATATTTGTGAGAATCAGGTCAACGTAAGTGTCCTTCACCTCCCCACCCTACCCTACCCCACCTGGGGAATATCCACCTTGGAGGATGAGGTGTCACATTTGGGGGATTTCCACCCCTCCCTAGTGCAACATCAGTTACTACAGCAGCCCTAATACCTAACGTGTATTGAGCACTTAACTAAGATACCCATGTAAGAGCCTCACATGATTAAGTCCCGTAATCCTTGTAGCAGCTGAGAGGGAGGCTACTCTTATCCCCAGGGTACAGATGAGGAAACTCAGGCACAAAGACTGGATGTTTGCTTTACCATCTTCAGAGAGAAAATCTTGCTTTTAGTAAATTTCCAAAAGCCACTTCAGTCTAAGTACTTTCCCCATCACTTCTACATGATAAATACATTTGCATCCTTACTGGTCCCTTAAAGATACAGGGCTAAGACTATTTCCTTAGTCCAGGGGATATTTCAGGAGATTTTCAAAGGGATTCATGACCCCAAATGGGAAAACACGTAAACTTTTGGTTCATTGCCGTCCCCTTTACCTCTGGTTTTGTTTCTGAAGCAGAGAAGCTTAGAAAGATGGTCTCCTGAGAGTCTGTAATGGCTCTGTCTGCTTTGTTCTGGGGTCTTGAGAGTGGGTTGTTTAACCTTTGGCTTCCCAAGTGGGGAGCCCTAGGATCCCACTTTCTCCCTCCTTAGGATCCCAGAAAGGAGATGGAGGAGAAGGGGCTGGTGAAGGGGAAAACAAACACAGGGCTGTTGGCTTGAATGACCAAGAGGGACCTGGTGACTTTTGTTTTATATATAGGAGAAATTATGGTTTAAAAGAGAGAGATGGTGCTAGGGCCATGGGGTCAGACAGGTCTGACGTCAAATCCTGACTCTCAGTCACTTCCCCCATTGGGCCTCAGTGTGTGCATCTGTAAAATGGGAATAATAATCTTTGTATTTTTTAGAACGTTCTGAGTTTTCTCAGCTATAACACACATGTGACCTAGATGATGCAAAAATCTATGGGGAGATTTATTTTAAGGATCCAGAGATTTATCAACTGCAGAGATGATGGTGGCCTCAGGGACTCTGCCAGGATGCTTTGCCCCTCTCTCCATGTCCTTCATTCCCTTCTTACCCAACAATTCAGCTTTCCCTACCACCCAGGCTGCCTTCCTTAGGGGAATAGCCAAGTCAAGGCCAGAGCCTTCGGATTCTCAGGGAGGAACTTTGATTGGCTCAGCCTGGGTCAGGTGACTAAGTCTGGACCAATCAGCTGAGGACAGGAGGTAGATCTCAGTGGGGAAACATGGCAGCTTCCGCTGTGGCCATGTGGATGGAAGGGAAGAAGAAAAGTTCCTACCAAAGTCAGGGGTGGATGTAGGAGAGGCAGCTGAGCAGGCAAAAGGACTGGTTTCTGCTGCCACACAGCAACGTTGTGACAGAGCATAGCACAGGCTGTGGAACCAGCTTGCTAGAGCCAATTGTGAAATTTTTTCAAGCTGGTTGTTAAACACAATTATTCATAAAAATTAACTAATATAAAGTTACAGTTAAATGAATTACATTAAACACAAAGGAGATAAAAACTCAATGCTACCTAATTATTTTACTACCTATTCCCATTATCTATGCTCTCGAGGTTATGTATGTCTGTGGTGGAAATCTTATACTGTGCTGCCACACACCTCTTCTCAACTCTGTATTCAGTGATGCTACATTGGTAGGTTGAAATCAGTCATGATGGAAGTATTTTACACCATGGGAATCAGCAGATAGTACAAATCATATCTTCTTCCACTTCCAGAAAGCCAGGGTTGGATCCTGA